AAGCACAATTAAGGAAATAAAATCTCTGCTTATGTCCCTAAAAGAAACTTTGGAGAGGAAGTGGAAGTGCCAAAAAATTGCGAGGTTGTTTCAAAGTTTGTCACCTTCCGCTTGTTCCTCTCCTCTTCTCTGTTTGCTGAGCATTTCAAGAGACATATTATATGAACTATGCGACTATACCTTCTTTTCCTCCACAACCAAACCATTCTTGGTAAACGATACATACCCCAGCCATTTCCTAGCATGAAACGTTCGCTGTTTGTGGTGGTGCCACTCTGCACTTTCACAATTCAGCTGGTACTATAATAAGTACAATTTTAATACAATATAGAAGCAGGAGATATGAAACTAAAACACACCAAATGAATAAAATCTGCAGCTCGTTCAGAAACAAAGCGAATGCAATCGACCACGTAATCTATCTAAAAACTCCACATTTGAAAACATATTTTTTTAGAAAAAAAAAGAACATCCCACCTGCTCATCCGTCCAAAAATACGGCACTGACACTCTCGTAAACCCTGGTCTAAGCATTTCATTAGAGGAATATTCCCCAACTCTTCGAAGATGGGTGCGATCAAGTCCATCGGCCTCACGTAGTGCAGTCAGATATTGAAGAGCTAGCTGCAGCAGTGTTTTACAAGGACTTAAGTGGATGAACAAAGAAAAAATGAATAGTGAATGAGAGAATAAATAGATAGATGACTTTATTTCAATAACTAATTGAGTGATGAATTGATCAATTGAGAATTTATAAATTGAAGGGACTACGCAAGTGGGTAAGGGCGTGAATGAAAAACATACCTGTTCATTGATGCCCATCAGATACTGCGCATACGGTCCCGCACACATACATCCTGCTCTAGATTGTATACCAAATAGATCATTGAGTAAAGCGGAGATATAATTATGATGGAAGAACAGTCCCGAAACAGAGTCCTAAAGCAGTTTGGAGATAATAACGATAATTTTGCGAAAAGAAAGATTGGACCTTTACGAGAAAAGAAAATACTGCGAGCCTCTTCTTCACTGCAGATGATCCTAGCAAAGTGACATTGTCGCATTTTTGCAAACCTTCCAGAAATCTTCTGAAACTGACCGATACAGACTATGAAATGGAGATAACAGATACAATACAGAGAAAAGAGCAATTATGCTCAATTGTGACAAACTCACTTCGACTTGTGTTTCTCCAGCGCAACGATGGCACTTTCGCCTACGGCTCGCTTCAGCTTCACAGCCAATGCCAGACGTATAATACCTACGCTGTCTGGAGTACCACCCTCCTCGCGATATTCAGCATCTTTAAGGTACCACTCTCCGGTTTGGGATACCTACAAAACCACAAGTTGTTTCAACTATAAACTTATGGGCAA